AGTGTGTGTGGGCTGGGTTGGACCACTTCCAGTGGGCAGCCGTGGGTGGGCACCCTGTTGAGCTCTCTTCAGGTGGTCGAGCCTCTCTGACTGTGAGGACCGAACTCCCAATGTCACCCAGGATCTACCCCGCCCTTTGGGACTCCTTCCCACATGACGGGAGGCTTATGTGACGAGCCATCCTTCTTCCCCATGCCAAGTGTACAATTTTGGTTTTATTTTAAATAGAAATGTAAGAACTGTCAGGTTCTGCTTTAAGAACATACTTTTAATTTTAGTACTTAGGTTTTTCTTTTTTGCCACCACAGATGCTAATTTGCTTAAACGATAACTAAATGCCTTTCCATAACTTAGCATGGGCTTGTTGAAATCTTGGGTGCCTTCCTTTAGTGACACAGTCCTATTTCATCCGCAGAAGCGAAGGCTTCCTGGAAGTCTCCCTGTGCTGCGCTGAGCAGTGCGGGCGGTCTCACACGTGCCTTCCTATTGGCGTGAGCACAGGAAGAACCAGCTGGCAACGGGGACACAGACAGAGGCCCGCAACTCGCAGCCGCCGTGACTTCATCTCCCGAGTTAGGAAAGCCCGACGTGTCAGACGGGTAAGAAGTCCCTCTCGACAGTGGCCCTGCCACGGGGGGCCCGCTAGACAGGCTCCCTCTGGCTCTACCGTGTGACGGGCTGTGAAGGGCCCAGGGCGGGGATGTCCCTGCAGCTGTGTTGACTGAGACGCCGGCCAGCTACTGAAAGCACCCCGCACAGTTACCAGGGCGTGGGTGGGCACCCGAGCAGGGCTTTGCAGTCGATTCCCCGCATCACCTCTTTGGTCATTTATCAGCGTCTGCCCTTGTGCTGGCTGCGGCCCCGAGGCAGTCATGCCTGCTCACATTTGTGCTCTGACACTGGGCAGCCAGTCGGTGCTGAATAGAGGGCTCGGACAGGATCGTTACTGTTTGGAAGGATTGGAAACGCCTTCCCAGGACACGAGCTGTCATAGGTCCTTTCCCTGATGGGACGGAAAGAAGCCCTCCTGTTCCGAATGCATGCTGTTAGCAAGGACTACGGCGTCTCACCAAGGTGCTGGTGGAGACAAATGGGCCTTTACAGACGGCTCTTGAAAACAAGCTTAAATTGTAACATAACAGTTCTATGAATACGCGCAATTAAAAGGTACGTAGCTGTACCTTTAAAGGGGGGCAGGTAAGGACGTGGATTTAAATTCAGAGTCTCATCTACTCGTTTTACCATGTGAACTTTGGGAGGTCTCTGAAACTCCGAAAGTTCAGTTTCCTCATCTGTAAAATGGCAATTCTTTTAGTACCTTACTGACTCTGTTCTCTTAAGAATTAATTATATAAACATGTACAGCACTTAGAGGGTAACCCTTTCAGGCAAAAATGAAAGTTTCACCCCACAGCCATCCTACATCAAATCATCTCATGGATCCGGAATTAGGACTTCGGGGTATAATAAATAATAAGTATGTCTCGGGTGGCTTCTATCTGGAATTTTAATAAGAGATATTACAAAAAATAAATTTCTGTTTTAATAATAAAAGTTTATATGTAACATTGAACATACACCTCAAGTAATAAAATAGAAATTTACAGAAAAAGACATGTTTAATCATACATAAAATTTGATATTATTCTTTTTCCTTTCTTATAAACACTAATATGAAATGGTATAAATGCATTGCTGTTGGTAATTTAAAAATTAAAAAAAATTGTGAAGGTACATGCTCCTTTCTTCGTCAGTTGTTTTTTTTTCATTTTTTTAGTTCCATACTTTTCTCCGGGGGGGGGGGTGATAGGGTGTGTGCATTCATCAGAAAGAGACAGTGAAAGAAAGAGAGAGCGGGAAAGGGAGACGTCGCCCCCGGGTATGGCCACGCTGCAGTCCCTTCTCCTGCATTCTCCTCTCTGGATTTTGGGCATCCACACACATACTCTAGGTGCTGGATCTGGGACTCGAACCACGTGCAAGTCCAGCGCCCTAACCTCCACGTCACCTGACGGCCCAAGTTCCACATTCCTAGTGAGAGTTAAGGGACACACGGCGGTGAGACTGGCAGTGGCGCCTGAGGAAAGGCCAACCGACTCTGTAGGGCCGTGGAGAGCTGCCCCGTCAGCGCCCAGTTTGCTGCACCTGGATTTCATCACGTGTTCCTTTCCCTGTGACAGAATAAAGGGGCGTGTCCCCGGAGACCGGACTCCGCTGGACACTGCCTCTCAGTTTTCCTCGGTCACGTCCACTGCGCAGACTGCCGCCGTGCCCCGTAGGGTGCCGAGACCGAGAGCGGGCGTGAGAACGCGGAGCCGAGGTAGGCCTGGGTCCCTGTGGGTCTGAAGTGCACGTTCTCCTGGGCTGCTCCTGCGTGTTCGTCCCGGGTCATCGTTTAGGGGCTTATGGTCCTGGGAAAATTAAGGTTTGAAAACTCACTCCCTTCTGGAGAACGGGGATGAAACTGACAGACAAATCAAACACGGACAGAATGCTCACACACATGCACACACGTGCACACACATGCACACACACACACACGCCTGTGTTTTCTTATTTTATTAAGTCGGCTTAAGCAGAAAACGAGCTAAAACTCGTCTAGCACGTGGCGTTCTCTGTACCGCTCCGGCTTCTTCCCACGCGAAGCTGTGTCCCGGCTGCGTGTGCTGCTTGAAATGCATGTTCTGAGAATGGACGCTGGAGTGACTTCTGAAGTTTTTCACACCAGGTCGAATCGGCTCTAGAACGACATGGATGGGATTGCGCCGACTCTCCTCCAGAAATAGCTTTTTCCTCTTTGCAGAAGAGTAAGACACACCCTAACTCACCTCACGCCCCGCCTTGCCACGTGCCGCTAGTATAGAAGCCGACCCTTTGCGGAGGGTGTTCAGCAAATCGAGGTGCCATTCATGCTTCCTACGCCCTCTCACACCTGCCAGGAAGAGCGAGGGGCAACCAGCCTCCTGCCCGGCCCGGGACCACCACGCAGCCGCCCACAGGGGGAGAGCAGACGGGGACCGGCCACATGACGGCGCCACACAAGAGAACACACCTCATTACTGCGAGCGCCTGCACGGGCTTCCAGCGTCCCCCAGCCTTAACTCAAAGGCCGGTACTCTATGCAGGAATGTCACTTATCTATTTGCTTCTTTGATAGCTATTTTTCTCCCTCTTGTTTACTGTCAAGTTCCAAGTGTCTTATAAATATCGTTTCCTCAACCTAACTTTATTTGTGGGAAGTCTCACCACCCCAAGACGACGCACAGCCGGCATGTTCCGCACCTCTCTGCACGTGTGTAGCAGCGCAGAGGCCCCCCCCCCCGCCAGCACTGTGACGCTGTGACACGGACCCGACGCCCCCGGAAGGGCTCTCTCCACCACCTCACATGCCCACGGCACCTGTGGCTCTCGGGGGCCTTTGCTGACACGGCGGGAGCTCGGCCACATCATCCCACGGCTCCTTTCCTGGGTTCTGCCGGGACCATGTATTTGCACCCTGCAGCTGCTCCCTTTGAAAGACTAGATTTAGAGACCAGCAGTTAGCATAATGGCTATGTCGCTGGGCTCCCATGTAGTCGACTGCAGTTCAAGTCCTGAACCTGATGGCTTAAACTCACGCCGGGCGCGTGTGCATGTGTGCCCAAGATCCCAAGAGGAGAATGGAGGAGAAGGGATTGCAGCATGGCCATCCCCCCTGGGGAGTAATTTCTTGCTTTCTGTCTCTATGTCTATCTCTGTCTTTCTGTCTTTCTGGGAGTGTATGCACCCTATAGCAAAAACCTCTCAAAAAAAAAGAAAGAAAGAAAGAAAGAAAGAAAGAAAGAAAGAAAGAAAGGAAGAAAGAAAGAAAGAAAGAAAGAAAAGAAAGAAAAGAAAAGAAAGAAAACAATAGATTTAAATTTCTCTTTATTTTAAATTGTGTGAAATTTCACTTGAAAATGCAGTTTCACATGGATTAACGTTTTTAGCCCTCAGTCACACCATGGATTAGAACAAGTGGTTTCTGTCTTTCCAGCACTCCTGGTTAACACTCTGACCTGGGCATTGATGTCCCCCCTCCTCCCTCTACCCATCTCCTCCCCCTTTGTCTCTTCCTGCCCCCTCCTTCCCTTCACAGTACTGTTCATTCAACCACCACCCTTCGGACGGAACGCTTGGCTCCTGGGCAAGGCTGCCCGGCTTCTGAGTCTGTGCAGCCGTTAACAGCTGGGACCAGATGTACCACTTTGTTTCCTATGCTTTTTATTTATGTTTTTAGGCCTATTTATCTATTTCTTTCATGAGTGAGAGAGACAGAGAGACAGCACTCCAACAGGGGCTTGATGTTGCGATACCCTCCCACTCAGTCTCTGCACAAGGACTGGGGTGCTGGTGTGTTCGGGGTCTCTGGACTTGACCTGGGAGCCCCCGCATGGGTGGCCCACAGAGAGCGCTCCTACTGCCTGACCTCCCCCCTGCTGTTTCATTCACCAGCTAAGGGGACTGAATAGGTGTTCGAATGAGTGGGTGGCTCACAAAGGCTTAGGGGACAGAGTAGGCTGGGTTCCAGGATGCTTCAAGTCCCAGGCTGGCCCTTGCTGAGTGTCACATCGCACCGGGGCTTCATCAACATCATCTCATTTAATCCTTCAATGTAGGCTTTGTCATTATTTTCCATTTAAAAAATAGGGATGTAAAAATACTATGTAGCTTGACCCGGGCATTTTTCTAAAATATTCTCTCTAAAATCTTAAGGACAGAATCAATAAAAATAAGAAACACCCACAGAACAAGCCTTTCTCTTCGCCCCTAAGCACCTGGAACTTAAGTAGGGACTTGCGATGTAGGAGGGTCTGGTGCCCTTGGCTGGCTCCTGTGCCCAGTGGAGCTCAGGGGACCTGTCAGGGGTGTGAGGAGGCGGTACATGTGCCACGCGGGTCGTGCTGACCGGAACCGGGAGAGGGAGATCTATCTCAAGCCGCTTTCGCCCCTTCTGTGCGCGGGACGGCTCTCCCTGGTGTTCCCTTTGAGGCTTGAAGGAGCAAGGTTTTCTAAAGATCGAAAATTCATCTTTATGCACGATGACCTCATGTCATTACAAAGGGCTCCTAGGGCCTTAGCAGGACTTTATTTTAAACGTTTGATTTGTCTCGTCCCTACTACTAATTTGACCCAGAGACTAGGCTTAGTGGTCAGCTGAACAAAACTCCGTAGGAAGTTTAGACAATGAGCTGGAGACCCTCACGGATCACCTGGAGGTTTTTGCAAACTAAAGTCGGCTCTGTGCAGTTCTTCTGCAAACTAGCCAAGCCCTTCCTTTCTCTTAGGGTTTGTTCTCTTATGCTCCCCACTCTTACTGTTTTTTTTTTATTATTTTTTAGAATTATTTTATTTTTTAGCATTTATTTATTTTAATTTGACCAGAGAGGGACAGAGAGAGAAAGGCAGGGAGAGAGACAGGGAAAGTGAGAAAGCAAGCCTCCAGGTCTGAGACTCGAACCGCCGTCAGCCATGTAGGAGTCCAGTGCCCTTAACCACCATGCCACCTGCCAGCCGCTTACTGTATTTTCCTGATGCAGAAAACAGTCCTTAGGGCTGTGAATCCAGAGCTTGGATTTTGTATAATCCAGAAAATGAGAAAAGCAGCCTGCCAGCTGCACAGTGTGGCCCCCTCCTCCCTGAGAGATGCAAGCACGGCAGATACTTCGAGAGAAATGGAAATAAATGTGTTTAATAGTTTGCTGTGCGCTCAGAGCCACTCCATTTATTTCAGACGTTGAGACGTGTGAAAATCCTGTGTGGTTCAGAGCTTTTTCCTGAGAGCTGCTGAGGGATTATGTAACATACCATTCTGACTAAAGGAGCTGCTAACTACTTGCGTCTTTCAGACTTTCCATTGTTTCATAATTGAATTTTCTGGCTCACGAATGACATGATACACTCTAATTTATACTCTCAGCTGAAGTGAGCAGAGGTGCCTTCTTAGGATTCCACATAAAACAACTTTTTATGTGTATGGATTTTTTAGATTTTGTTATCACATCATTTCATTCTGATACTTGTTCTTACCACAATTTTTTTTGGCCCCAAGTTTTCTAAAAAATTAGGCTAAATAGCACTGAATAAATATTTACTTATTCGATTAGGTGGTTAGAAAAGAGCAACCAAGAATTATGCTCATGTAAATATACATTTACTTAAAAACTATTTTATTGAAATATGATATAAAACATATTCAGCCTTTAAAAGTGCACACTCAGTGACTTCTCATATGTGAGCACGGTGCAGCCATCACCACCTAACTCAGGGGCGCGTCCATACCCCAGAGAAACGCCCCGACCCTCTGCAGCTGCGCCCCTTCCTCTGGCCCCCGCGGCCCTGGCCACTGCCGCCTCCCTGTCTCTCTGGATCACAGCTAACCTGCTGGAACACTGTGACGCGCGGTCCTCAGTGACAGGCTGGCTTCCTTTACAGAATGAACCGCTGGGTTCCGAGGTTCCTCCGCGCTCTAGCGTGTTCCCGCGTTCCGTTTCTATGGATGTATTGTAGCATGGTCTTTATCTCTTTGTCAGTGAGCGGAGATTTGGATGGCTTTCACATTTTGGCTACTAAAAATGCTGCTGGGGGGTGGCAGGTGGCGTGGTGGTTAAAGTTGCTGGACTCCCACATGGCCAACCGTGGTTTGAGTCCTGGACCTGGTAGCTTGCTTTCTCACTTTCCTTTTCTCTCTCTTTGTCTCTGCTGGTCAAATTAATGACAACAACAACAAATGGAATTAAATAAACAAATAACTTTTTTTAAAAAATGCTGCTGGAGGACTAGGAGGTAGAGTAATGGCTACGTCACGGGATTTCCGGATGGCTGACCATGATTCAAGCCCCGAACCTTGAGGCTTGAAACACATGCCAGGCATGTGTGCATGCATGCCCCAAATCCCTAGAGTAGAATGGAGAAGGGATTGCAGTGTGGCCACTCCTCCAGGGGCTGATTTCTTGCTTTCTGTCTCTCTGTCTCTGTCTCATCAGCAAGTGCACGTGCCCTATAGCAAAAATCTCTCTACAAAAAGAAAAAATGCTGCTAGGAACATTTTAATGCATATTTCTGTGTGAGTATATGTGTCAACTCTCTCTCGTGTGTGTCTAGTTGCAGAATTTTAAGTCCTGTGCTACCTCTCTGTTTAGCTTTCTGAGGAATTTCCTGCCAAACTATTTTCCAAAGTAGCTATATCATTTTTTACATTTCCACCAGCAAGGCACGAAGGTCCTGATTTCTTTTTTTTTTAAGAGATTTTCACTATAGGGCGTGTGCGCTCGCCAGACAGACAGAGAGACAGAAAGCGAGAAATCACCCCCAGGGGGGATGGCCATGCCGTAATCCCTTCTCCTCCATTCTCCTCTCGGGATCTTGGGCACGCACGCACAAGCGCCCGGAGTGAGTTTAAGCCACCAGGTCCGGGACGTGAACCGCGGTCGACTACGTGGGAGTCCAGCGACATAGCCATTACACTAACTGCTGGTTCCCAAAGTTCCTGATTTCTTCACGCTCTTGTTGCCTGTATTTGGAAGGGTTTGATTTTGCCGTCCCAGAGGCTGTGGAGGGGTATTTGTTGAAGGTGCAGTGTGCGTTTCCCTAAGTACCAGGGCTGTTGAGCGTCTTTCCGTGTGCTTAGTAACCGTGTGTACATCTTCTCTAGAGAAATGTCTTCTCGGATCCTTTACCCATTGATAACTGATTGTCTTTATTGTTGTTGTAAGAGCTCTGTATTTATTCTGGACACCAGACCCTTAGCAGATATGGATGTGTAGGTACTTTCCTCCCATCCTGTGGACTGTCCTTTCACTTTCTTGACAGTGTTCTTTGAAGCACAAAAGTCTTTAATGTTGATGAAGTTTAGTTTATCTTTTTTTCTCTTGTTTGTGCTTTATGTGTTATATCTAAGAAACTGTTGTCTTATTTAAGGTCTTGAATAAGACCACACACACACACACACACACACACACACACACCACACACGCACACACATATATATTTTCTTCTAAGAGTTTTATAGTTGAGCTTTCCCATTTAAGCCTTTGATTTATTTTGAGTAAAACTGTGTACATAGTATAAGGAAGTAATTTATTTTAAAAGTTTTTCACTGAGTTCTCAAATTTTTCCTTATTTAAAGAAATAGAAGCTAATCCAATATTATTGTAGCATTTGAACACCTATAGGAAGAATCCTATTATACAGTATTCCTAAACATTTTGAAACTTAATGTATCTTTTTTTTTTTTTTTTTTAGAGATTTTTGCTATAGGGCATGTGCTCTCGCCAGACAGAGAGAGACATAGAGACAGAAAGCAAGAAATCACTCCCCAGGGGGGATGGCCATGCCACAATCCCTTCTCCTCCATTCTCCTCTCGGGATCTTGGGCACGCACGCACATGCACCCAGCGTGAGTTTTAAGCCACCGGGTCCGGGACGCAAACCATGGTTGACTACGTGGGAATCCAGTGACATAGCCATTATGCTAACTGCTGGTCCCAATGTAGCATATGTTTGAAAAAATAATAATATTTTAAGAAATTCAAAGTGTGCTAGGAAGAAAAGGCAGGAAATCAAGACTGGCCTCTCAAACCACTCAAGCCACTCCAGTTAAAGGCAGTTAACTGCGCACCTCCACCCAGAGTAGCTCCAAATCTGCCTCTGAGACAAACGGCAGAATTAAATCAGAATAGCTATGTGAGCATCTTCATCGTTATTCTCCAACTTTTCTCCCTTTGTCTAATGGAAAGCCAAGCTGGGCACACGGGCATTCTGAGTTCTGGGAAGCCAATAATGCTTCACCTGAAAACCATAGAGGGGCCTGCTCTAGAAAGGGGTCGTTTTTATGAATATTCTGTGTTTTTCAAAGACTGTACAGGAAACTGTATCTTGTTGTTGTTGCTTACACTTTACACACGGTCGTCCCAGAGTCTTTGCCTCCGCAGCTCTTTATGAACTGTGAATTCCTGACCAGCGCTGCACATTGAACTTCCTGTGCTGACAAAGGTTCTAGAAGTGTGCTCTGGAATACAGGGGTCATTAGCCACCCCTGGCTGTCAAGTACTGAAATGCAGCTGGTATGGCTAAGGGACTACATTTTTCATGTCATTAATTTTAATTAAGTTCTAATAACCTCACGTAGCCGCTGTCCCCCATGCTGGACAGGCAGCTATGACAGTAATCTGCCTGGAAAAAACCACGAATTTTCAAATGGGTTGTCTGTTGAAATTGTAACCTGTTTCAAAAAGAAGTAAAACACTGAGATGCAGCTCTCAGGGTAATTCGTACTGCTTAATCTAAACAGCGATGCAGACTGCTAGAATCACTTCCCCTCTCTCTCACTCTCTGTCAAAGAAAAAATACATACAGACTTTTGGCTGGATTATCTCATACTTTGCCAAACATGTAACTAAAATAAAACAAAAGTTTAACTGCTAATCTTTATTTATTTGTTTTTTTGGTAATGCCCCATGAAAATCTTGGCAAGCTCATAGTCATGGAAATCACATGCAGATGACAGTGTACCTGTGACAAAAGCTTGGAGATCATTCTCCTTCTGAGTGAGTGTGTGTGCGCATGTGTTTTGTACAGCCTCCTTATGCCACACTCCGCCTGCCTCAGTCTGTGAGTAGCTGGGACTGCAGCCATGGGCTGCCACTCCTGGCTTCTCACTATGGGCCAGGAATTGAACCCAGGTCTCCCACGTGGACTCAGGCTACTGAGTAACTGTGTCAGCCAACATACACTGCCACCACAGGGTCTAAGAAGCATTTTATAATATGGGATAGAGAAGAGAGCGGGGCCTTGGTGTTCTGCTGTAAAAAACTAACTGGGCATGTACCTAGCACTTCAGTCCTGCTGAGTTTCTGTGCACAAAACAAATGTAATATATCCTTTTTTTTTTAAGAATGATTTATTGTAATTTCATTTATTCATTAACTTATTTTAATTTGACCAGAAAGAGACAGAGAGCGAGAGAGAGAGGGAAAATGAGAAAGCAAGTCACCAGTCCGGGACTTGAACCATGGTCAGCCATGTGGGAGTGTCCAGCACCCTAGCACCATGCCACCTGCTGACCCCACAAATATAATATATTCTTTATGCAACACATTCTTCTAAGAACTAGAAAGGACTTTGTAACCGTAAGTTCCTTACAGACATAAATATCATCCTTAATTTATTATAGTTTTGATTTTTCTCTTATAATGTAATTTCCAAAAAGAAAACATCAACATATATTAACATCTCAAGAAAATTGTTTCTCTGCTCGAAAAGGAGTTCTGGCAAGACCTGGCTCCCGTCTCTATACCTACGGAAGGACAAAAATGCAAACATCAGAATAGAAATATTTCCAAATAAAACAGACAAAAGTCAACCTATGCTAAAGCACAGAAAAGAAGCTAGGTTCTTTCTTTTTAGGTCTCCAAAGGTGTCTAATCAAAAAACACGTGCTTCAGTGACCTCTCGTGTTCTGCGACTCAGCGACTGTTATCAGAGAAGAAATCAAACAGGTGGAATGGTGCAAAATGGAAACCCGAGTCTCCAGACCAACTGGAACCACAATATCCACTGCCCAAGTACAACGTTGCTCCCGTACCCTTCCAGAAATTTCTCAGTATACATATTCATTTGTGTATGTAATAGGCAAACTTCTATTTCTTTCTTTTTAAAAAATAATTATTCATTTAATTTTATTACTATTATTATTTAATTTGCCATAGGGCACATGCACTCACCAGAGAGAGAAAGAGAGAAGGAACGTGAGAAAATAGTCAGGTCCGGGACTTGAACCATGGTCGGCCACAGGGAATACATGGACACCATGTGAGGGTCCAATGCCTTAACCACCATGCCACCTGCTGGCCTCTGCAAGCTTTTATTTCAAGAAGTTACGTAAGTTTCAGGAGCTTGGAGATGTGCTTAGAAATACCCCAGAAGCACCGGGGCAACTGGGGACTCTTGCTTCCTGTCACAGTGAGTCCTGCAGCCTGCTGGGTCTGTGTGTGAGCAGCAGGGCCACGCCCCTGCTCCTGGGACTGGTGCCAGCCTGGCTCAGGCCTTCTCCTCTCTGCTCTACAGGCGCACAGCCTCCAAGGTCTCTCCAGACCAACCTCCAGCTCCCTCAAGAGTGCAGTCTCCAAACCACAGGGCTTCCTGTGATGGCTTCTCCTACAGGGCAAAGCACTGGGTGCCCTTGCTGGCCTGTCCTCAGACACGCCCAGGGCCGCCTGCAGGGACCGCTCCATGCTGCTGCCCAGCCTTCCTCCCATTCATCTTGCAAGGGCATTGTTTCTGTCCCCTCCTCGGCCACTGTGGCCACCCAGCAGCCCTCGCTCTCTGCCCAAAGATCACACTCCTGAAGTGACATTCCATGCCGCCGCGGAGCTATGGAAATGCGGTTTCCAGAACAGAGCCCTGTTTGTGAATATCTTCATCCGTCAGGCCCAGCGCCGTCTAAGGCCAGAAGACCAGGCCCCAAGTACTTGCTGCCTCTGTTCGTTAAATCATAAGACCCAGAGAGCCCGCAAGGAGCGCTGTGGAATCAGAGTGAGAAGAACGGTTTGCGTCTGCAGAGCCCTGTGGCCAGAGCAAGGCCCAGGAGGTCACCTTCCACCCTGGTCACCACCTCTCAGCCCAGACCTCCCACTGTGAAATGTTCTCATGTCTTCTCACTCCACTGGGTCCTAGGGACATTTGTGCTGTTCCGATATAACCAGAACTTTTAAGAACTTTGTTAATTTATTTCTTTAGAGAGAGACAGACAGAATGGCACCCCAACAGGGTCCTCCAGAATCTGCCCTCAGCCTCGGTCAGCCCAGATCGCCGGCCCATGTGAGCTCAGAGCGTCCACAGAGGCCCCAGACATGAGCGCGGGACCTCCACGTGGGCTCTGCACTGCAGGATGTCATGGACTGTGCACCCGTCGGCCCACAGTGTGACCAGCACAGCAATGGCTCCCAGAGTCATCAGATTCGACCCAGCTCAAAGACCACCAGACTCAGACACTGCAGAGACTGACGAGGTTCCGCCCACGAAGTAAACAGAACCTTAAAGTTACTGGGCTGCGGGGAAAGTCAGGATGCAGTTTTGCATAGAAAAACAGAAAAATAAACCATGACTTTCCTGACTAACTAATAGTTCATTAAAGCCTATGTCCCTCTGCAAGTCTGTAAATAAAACAATACATTTACAAAACCAGTTAGAAAACCATGCAATTTCAAAATCTTTTTCTGACCTCTGTCGAATCTCAGCTTAAGCACAAAAGATACGGGCCAGTAGGCGGTGCCGAGGGTGGGACAGCTGGGTCCCATGCAGCCAGCCGAATGGACCTGGCGGTTTATAAGACACACCGGACATATGTGCGTGCGTGTTCAAAGTGCCCAGAGGAGATGAGGAGAAGGGAATGTGACACGGCCATCTGCCCTGGGTGGTGATTTCTCACTCTCCCACTGTCTCTGGCCAATGCATGTACTCTATAGCAAAAGTAAACTAAAAAAAAAGGAAAAATGTTAAAAGCCCCACTCATCTCTCTGCCTCATTTAGGCTTTTGGAGAAGTTGGTGTCAGGACTGGGGAGTTTGCAAAGCCCCAAGCCTCTACCTCGCCCCCAGGACAAAGTACTAGAACAGGGCTGTGGTCACGCTCTTGGGAGGGGCACGTCCCATCCACCTGCCACACTGCTGGGGACCGCTGGGCTGGGCATGGGGGAGAGGGCTGCGTGCGGCTGGGTGACCCTGACTTGCCGGGTGGCCTGTGTCTATCTTTTCTCTGCAGCACTTTGGGCACCAACCCACCTGCTACCCTGCCTGAGGATCACCACTCACCCCACTCTGCCCCTTGGTATGTTTCTAATGCTCCTTTAAAAGATCCACCTTAAATGTTCACGTTTCTGTGAAATGAAAATAACATTGAGCTCTGATCACACCGTATTTAAAGAACGGGAAGCTTCTCATGGGCAGGTACAAAGCACTGTGGTTGTTGGAGGTGACAGGGTAAGTATGGTATTGACAAAAACCTAACTTCCCAAGTATTACCGCGAGTGCCTGCACGGATGCGGGTTAGTTATAGATGTGGGGGGTCACTAATGCTCCCCTGCTTTCTCCAGCGTTTCTAGCCATCCTTCTCGTACAATAAAGCCCTAGAAAGTGGAGGGGCACCCAGCGCACTGACTGCTTTCAGCGAAATTGGATTCCCAGCTCCCTGCCCGTCACCTCCAAGGCCCTCCTTCCTCTGTCCCTTGCCCTTCCACCCTTTCAGGGGAGCTGCTTTGCCCCTGGGAGAGCATCCAGGGCTCCTGTCCCTCCTGGCTGCCTCCTCGACTGTAAAACAAGGTGCCAGATGACCTGTGACCCACGGTCCATGGTTATAGTTTATCACGTTTTAGCTGTTCCCTATTTTCCAAATGAATCGAGCTGGAAAATGCATTGGGGGGGTGGGCAGAAGAGAAAGTGTATGCTTGTTCATTTTGGCGGGGAGCAGGGATAAGCGATCAAGTGAAAAACCTGAAAGACAGGACTTTTTAGAAGTTGCAACACTTGAACATTTTCAGGCAGACTTGGAGATGGACGCGCCTCCCCTGCTGCAGGTCAGAGTCTGCAGGACATTTGAACACTGCCCTCCTTCCCTCCGAAGTCACTTACATCGTGAGGCGTAGATAAGTGATTCTTTCCACGAACTGCTTTGTACCATTTCCCTAGGCCGATCATTTTAAACACAGGCTGGCAACATGAGCTGTGAAAGCATGTGGCCCTCTGAATTGCCCTCCAACACACAGATTCTCTTTGGGAAATGTGGGTTCACGTCAGGGCCCTCAGCTCCTGCCACGTCTGAATCAACGTTCAGCAGAAGCTCGCTCACTGGTAGAGAGGGTCTGTCTGGCAAGTTGCTCGTACATCCTCTGATAACACTGGAAAGCTATGGCTTCATCATTTATTCCTATTCTCAAATAAAAATAGAGGCTAAAAAATAGAACGTATTTCTAATTTATACAGTTTTTTTTTCTTTCTTTTGTTCTTGAACCTTATATCAGGCATCTTTCTGAATCACATTTCAGAAAATCCAAATCTTCACGTTTAGTTATTTTGACCAACATATAGCCACAAACAAAAAATAAGGGAAGGAAAAAGGCCCCTGACTCAAAACTTTGCACTAGGGGAGTTCACAGCTCATGAAAGACGACCTTGGAGAGCCAGCAGGTGGCGTGGTGTTTAAGGTGCTGGACTCTTACTCGACTGGCGGTGGTTTGAGTCCCAGACCCTCTGGCTTGAAACTCATGCAGGGCGTGTGTGTGTGTGTGTGTGCCCAAAGTCCCGAGAGGAGAATGGAGGAGAAAAGATCAGCATGGCCATCCCCCAAGGATGTAACTTCTCACTGTCCCTCTCCCTGTCTGTCTCTGCTGAGCACACATGCCCTATGGCAAAAACAAAACAAACAAAAAGATGAGCTTGGGCTAGGTAGAATCTCCATGGTCAGAATTTCCAATCTGTTATGAATCTGTTATGAAACGGGGAAGACGGAGAAAGAGAAAGCAAAAATGGCTGTCACTGTGACAAGAAGGATGTGGGCAGGAAAAGCCATCTAGACAGTCTCAGGACCATAGAGGAAAGAGCCTTCACCAAGAAAGTCCTAGAAGTAACGCTGTATCATACCAGCTTCACTGGGGTCCAAACGAGCCCGTTCCAATGTCCTTTTTTTTTTTTTTCTTTTGGTAAGGTTGAGATGTTTTTAAGAGATTATTTCAGAAAGGTTTCCATCAAAACTTTTCAATTAAAAAAAGAACTGGCATTTCAATTGTCTGGAAAACTCACTTCAAGTAACAGCAACCTCTTCAAGAATCCCAATAATTAGAGGCCTATCAAATTAAAACACTAGCTCCTTTTGAAAGCCAGAGAGAAAAAAAATTAAAGTTAAAAAGTCAAGGCAAAGTGAAAGAACTTCTAAAAATGGAAAGGTAAAATGAATGTGACTTGGAAGTGATTATCTTTAACATGTGTTCTTTTCATTTTAATTCCATTCTGGAAATGCCTATTAAATGACAAGACTCCTAGGAACAGATCTGAACAAGAGAAATCATCTATCTTTCAAGATAATGTTCAGGAAAGAAAACAGGTTTCAGGGATATATAGAAATAAATATGTGTTTTTCCGTGTGTATGTAAAAAGACTACATATTGGTCTTGCTTTTATGCACATATGAAGGCTCCATAAATGGCCTGGGGAAAGAATCCACCAAACTCCTGCCATGGCCTCTGGGGGCTGGCACTGAGTCAGGACGGTCACTCATGTCACCGATCACTTTTTTTGCTATCTTTTTTTTTTTTTTTTTTTTTGAGAGATTTTCACTATAGGGCGCGTGCGCTCGCCAGACAGACAGAGAGAGACACAGAGACAGAAAGCGAGAAATCACCCCCGGGGGGGATGGTCACGCCGCAATCCCTTCTCCTCCATTCTCCTCTCAGGATCTTGGGCACGTACACACACGCGCCCAGCGTGAGTTTTTAAGCCACCGGGTCCAGGACTCGAACCGCAGTCGACCACGTGGGAGTCCAGCAACATAGCCATTACGCTAACTGCTGGTTCCCACTTTTTCTTTTTTTAAGAGAGATGTTTGCTATAGGCTGTGAGCACTCACTGGTGAGACAGAGATGGAGAAATAGACAGAAATCACCCACCAGAGGGCATGGCCATGCCTCAATCCCTTCTCTTCCATTCTCCTCTCGGGATTTTGGGCACACATGCACACACGCCTGGGGTGAGTTTTAAGCGGCCAGGCGCAGGACTGGAATCGCGGTTGTCTGTGTGGGAGTCCAGCGACGTAACTGTTATGCCATCGGCTGGTCCCTGATTACTTTCTGTTTAAGTGAGCAGGATAGATGCCAAAGTCATCAAATGCAGCCCTCGTCTGCCTAGTTGGAAGGCAACTCTATGCTGTACTGCTTTATTTTCTCAATATTTTGTTTCTTTGCAAGTTCTAAAGAAAATCCCCGGGGAGCTCACAGCACGAAAGCCCTACTGCTGGCACGAGGGGCACGAGGGGGATTTCGAGAACCTTCAAAGGCCGGTACCGTCCCATCGACACTCCCCCCTTCTCTTTCTTTTTAAGCTCTGTTTACGTGTCCTTGAGTGAGATGGCAGAGACAGAGAGACAGTGCCCACATGGTCTTGGCGCCGCCACCCCGCAGTCTCAGCCAGCCCTGCCCTGGGGCGCCCAGGCAGTCTCCAGATGTGAGCCCCACCTTGACCCTCGTCGGGCATCTTTCTGAATTATCTTGTAGAAAAGAAAAATAAAGACGAGCCACAGGAGTCTGTGAGACGCTGTCAGACGCGTGTCGAGGGAGCTGGCGTTTGGCTGTGACCTTCGGGAGCCGTCGTCCTGACAAGCAGGCACAGCCGTGTCTCCAGCAGCCCCTGCAGACCAGCTGCTCCTCGTGTACCCCATGGCACGCTCAAGATCACAGGCGATGGGCCACGAGGCCGAGCCTTGCAGAACACATGAGGGACCTGGCTTGTTGCTACAAGAGGGTGGCACCACCATCGCCCCGGGGAGGCTGCGGGGGAGAATTTCCAGACCCCGTGGTGTTTTCTAACGCGGGGAGCAGCCAGACCCCACTCCAGCTGCAGTTGGCTTCCAGCAGCACTTCCTTAGCAACCGCCTGACTCCCTGCCTTTGAAATCTCCCGCTATTTGGCAATAGGATGGACATTTGCTGTTCGTGAACTCTCCAAAGGTCATCGGCTGGAACAAGCCGCTGGGTTTCCTCTGCCCTCCGCCTCCCTGTCCATCACCGCTGCAGGGCGGGGAGCCTACCTGGTCGAGGAAAGAACGTGCACTTTGGCCTCTTCCTAGTGGGAGATGAATTTTATTCGGGGCGTTAGGGGGAAAGCGCCCTGGTATTGCTGCGTCACTCTGTTACTGACGGGCGGGCAGAGAGACGGACAGCTGCCCATTTCGCTGAAGCAGCTCCATCTTTTAAAGCTAGTTACTGAAGTGCACGTGTAAAGCTCAGAGTTAAGAAAAATACAGTTACTTGCCGTTCAGTTTGTAACTAGTGTTAGAGCTTAAAGCTTATACTTCATTTTCAGAGAAAAAGAGAAGGCCAATGGCTGTACTATTTCCAGAAAGCGGTCATTGCACCCTCATAGAGCTCGCTTGACCCAGGCACTGGATCGACCTCCCGGTTGCCGAGGCTTCAGGTAATTTTATTAGATTGGCATAGTCAAGAAAAAATAGGAAGAGACAACCAGTATCCTTTACCTGTTATTTTTAAACATCCCACCTTGCTGAGGAAAATACAACCAGTTTCATAACAAAGATTTCTTAGCTGTGAAGTACACACTAATTAAAATAAGCTTAGTTTTAGATTAATCCTTATTCATGTCATAAACCATAGCTTTTTCTAAATACGCGTATATAAAACACACATATAAACTTCTCTAAAGTATAACATTTTACAAATAGGAGAATTCTAGGGAAGTCTTTGTTTCCTTTTCCTCCTCGTGAATGATAGTCATGTCCAAATAGATGCTAGAAGTCCGGAAGTGGATCCGCTCCTCGGCCATTTTGGCGGTCTCTATGAAAGCACACCACTGCAGTCAAATATGAAAGGCGGGTGGCCGTGTGTTGAAGGCTCTCCCTCCGACCCTGCTCGGAGCACCAAGTCACGCTCCATACACACGTAACGATCGCTAGCAGTGACTGCCCTTCACAGTGGCGTTAGTCACTTCGAATCTCTAACGCTGTCCCTGAAGTTCACGCAAGCTCTCCCCACACCGCTCCTCATCACAGGTGGTCGAACTGCCTTGGTCCCCTGTCCCTCTCCGCCGTCACCACCCCTCCTTCCTTCCCATCGCCGCGGGTGCCGTGCCCTGCCCTTCCAGAGTCAGCGGGGCAGAGGGCTTGGGAGGCAAACCTCGTTCCATTTCGGAGATGGCGAGACTGAAGCTCAGCCAGGGTGACAGCGAAGGGGGGTCCCAGCAGCACCAGGCCCTGGGTCTGGGCTGTTTCTGCAGCGTCTTCCTCTTTACACACAGACACACCCAACGAGAGTAACCGAGCCGTCTGTGTGCTGTCCCCCTTCTCTTCACGCCTTTTCAACATTTTCAAATTTATTTTTCACTATTAATAGTATTACTTACATTTAATCACTACCCGTCTTTGCAGTGGCTTTCTCAGCACTCTGTACATGCCGAACGTCTGTGCTCGTCCTCTGCGCTTTGGAAATGGCAAGTGGACGTGAATCGTGGCCCCAGGGCCAGGGGCTCTGCCCGCCCCCCCACGTCTTCGCACCCTGCCCACCCAGCACGCTCACGCCCAGTTACTGAAGACCGGTGTGGGCCAGGGATTAGAGCCCAGCCAAGCTCGGCTCCTCTCCACGGCCTGGCATCTGCAGGCGGGGCAGGGCAGCCTGGCAGGGGGTGGGGACAGCGGCCTGGGGACTGCACTGGGTAGCAGGAACGAACGACGGTGACGGTGACGCGTTTCCGGGCGCGGCGGCTGAGGGTCCCCCGCATGCAGCAGTTGAGCACAGGGAGTGGAGTAATCGGTTCTCAGGGACCCTTTCCAAGCAACGGCCCTGCTCTGGGTTAAATGTGCCCTTCCAGATGTCATGCACTAAAATGCCCATCCTGCTGTGATGGGAGTAAGAGGACAGGGGCTCCGTCCAGCTGTGGAGTCGAAGGGGGCCTTTGGGATTAGGAGCCGTGGAGGGCGGGCCACCCATGGTCGGATCCTCGGGGGTCTACGAGGCCCTTCCTGCACTCTGCTCAGGCTCGTTCGACGGACGTCCCCGCCACATCCCACCAGCAAAGACCCTCCCCTGACGTGGCCCCGTGACGTGAGCTTCCAGAACCGCTTGGAGCTGAACGAATGTCTGGTTTTAGTGGTTGTTTGTTTTAATGGTCCAGACTCTGGT